AAGATGAACGGAGGTCTTACGGGTTTGGAACGACATGAGGGTGAGCACTTAATGACAGAATTTTCATTTTGGGGTGAACTAATCCTTTAAAAAAATATTAATGATTTGGCTCAGCGACGACCATTTTATTTGTGTATATATAAATATATACACACACACACACACACACTAAATGAACTAAACTTTTTAAACACACTAAAATAAATGAATAAATTCTAAATTTATATTTTTTATTATTATACTTATTTTTTAACAATCGAATGAATCAAACTATACAAATAGCAAAGAAGTCACAGCCAGCTGGCCCGTGAGTACACAGGAGACCCCAGCTCATTTCAAACTAACGTTACATCTTCTCATGCATGACGCAAGATGGTAATTTATTGCTTTATACCTGTTTTATTGTAGACTACGTACGATTAAATGTGATTAAACTGGATGTAATGACCACAGCAGCTGGCTAAATTAGCCAGGCTAGTTCCCAACGTCACTCATGGGTCATAACTAGCAATAAAAACCCTTCATCGTCATTTACGCTATATTCCAAAGTGGAGATACACACACACACACACACACACACACACACACACACATATATATATATATACATAAACCGCAAAATAAATTGATACAGAAAGGCCTTAAAGACGCCGGGAGTAGATTAGCTGAAGCTACAGACAGTCGGACTTACCTTAGTCCGGATCAGGTTCGGGTCCCAGCGCGGTCTGAGCTCTTGGATCAGCTGCATCGCCCCCTCCGTCACGTTGTGCTCGTCCACGAAGATCGGGAATTTTCTGATCGCCGGTGACCCCACCGGCACGTGGATCTCCGTCTCCATCATACGACTGATCTGTGTGTTAACGCCCGACATTCAAGTTTCTGGATCTATGAGTACTCACTCTGTGTACTGCGTATTCTGGAGGTCTGAAGGTTTTTATTTGAATATGCAGTGAAGGTCCAGTCCGGTTTGGTGTGTGCAGAGAAAAGAGGAGCGGCTCATGTGCCGGTACCGTCGGTTTCTGTCATCCTCATCATCCTCATCATCCTCATCACGGCAGGAAAAAACGGCGCTTCTTCCTTCAACAGGCCCCGCCCACAAGAAATCATCCGATGACGGAGGCCTAGCTCCTGAATATTAATGAGCTCAGGATGACGGGGCTTCTTCTACGGCGAAGGATTGGCTTATTAATATTTATTAGGTCAAGTGACGTTGCTGTTGTAAGGACTTGGCTCATGAATATTAAGAGTAAGCCTTCGCCATAGTAAGTTTCGTGAATCACCTTGCTCTGTCTTTTGAAATACAAATATGCTCATTATTTCGTCTTCTTTCCTCATTCCAGAGTGTCATTGTATGTGCCTTAGTATTAGTAAGAAAGCATATAATATACAAATTCTGAAGTCAAAGATGTAATGTAAACAATCTGAATATTTAGCCAAATCAAAATGACACGCGTAAAGAAGTGCGCTGTCTAAACAAATCTCAGGTTTATTGTAATCGTATGGGTCATTATTGTGTGTAATAATATCTGTGAATCAGATGGACATTTTCAAGCCACTAGTAGTCTCTCTGCTCATTCATGTTATTACATGAGCTAAAGTGCCCTCTGGAGGCAAAGACTCCCTACGAGCTACAGCATTTATCATGCAAACATGGCTCATGAAAATGCTGTGAAATATGTGTAAATAGTTTGTGAATCATGTAAATAAAAGAATATAATATAAAAGTTTACAAAAAGTGTAATATAATACAATACTATTATTAATACAGCTGTATTTTTTATTTATTATATTTCGAGATACTATCCTAATTTATATATATTTTTTTCATTTTTATGTTTTCCATTTTAATGTCAATTTTAGTTTAGGTTTTTAGTAACGTTGCATTGTGTTTTTATCATTTTAAAAATGAATGGATGAATGATTTTTTTAGATTTTATTTCAAGTAACAAAAATGTTCTCTCTCACTCTCTCTGGTTATAGCCTAGTTAAATATAATAACCCTCACTGTTAGACATTTCAAATGGTTTTTACAGTAACAGTAAGTTACTGTAATTAAGATTTACAGTAGCAAACTGTATTTGGTTTACAGTTGCAAACTACTTTTTACAGTAAATTACTCATATTCATCAGTATACTACTGTAATTAATTCATTTTAATATATTTCATTAGATTTTATAATTGTTTATATAGAATTCATTTTATTTTTACCCTACATAGGTACTACTGGCATTCAATTAAAACAGACACAATAATTACAAAATATCAAATTCTTTATTTAAAACATTGCATGTATAACACATAAATACAGTCTTCCAATGCTGGAACAGTGCATCTTAATTTCTCCTGTCTTAGGACATTTTGCAGTGCATTGTGTTGTATCATCTGGATTTGTCCTATAACAAAGAATCTTTAGGCAACAGAAACATAATGGGGGAAAAAGATAAGCAGCCAAAGAATACATAGCCATCTGCAAAACCCAGGTGCTGCTCCAAAACGTGGCCACCACCTTTGCTCACCATCCACTTTGTTAGTGACAGAAAAACAAGTAGAAATGGCACACGTTTAAAAGGCAAACCCCGTATAGAATACACAAATCTCTCAAAACCTAGTTGTTCTCTTACCATGAATTATCAGTCTCAGGGTGGCTGGCCTGCTCATGTCTTTCTTGATGCTTCATTTAAGTTGCCTTTAAAACACAAATACATAAAATGCAGTTAATCTTAAATTCCATTAAAAACTATAACAAACAAATTCTAAAACTAGAAAGGCAGCTAGCCATAAAACTTGTTTAACCTAGCTAACATACGATTTTATTTTCTCAATAGGCTACTTGCCAACATTAACTACTAACACCTGAACAAAATTTCACATTAGTTAAAGGGGTCATATGATGCTGCTAAAAAGAACATTATTTGGTGTAATGAAATGTGTTTATGCGGGTTTAAGGTTAAAAAAACACATTATTTTCCACATACTGTACATTATTGTTTCTCCTCTATGCCCCGCCTTTTTGAAACGCGTCCATTTTTACAAAGCTCATCGGTCTGAAAGCGAGGTGTGCGCTGATTGGCCAGCTATCCAGTGCATTGTGATTGGCCGAATACCTCAAATGTGTGATGGAAATGTTACGCCCCTTAACATACTGTGATGCTGTGTCCCTGCCAGAGCGATAAGACAAAAACATGAAAACCCATTATAAACAAGGCATTTGTTGCATCCAGTGGGGATTTAATTACGGATTATAAGGACTTATACTGTCTTTTTACATGTTGCGTTGCATCGCGCCACATGAACATAAAACCATGTCTGCATTTGTGATCAGAGAAACGACAAACAACAAGCGGAACGAGCCGTTTTAGGTAGGCGTGGTTAACTCTTAACTTTTATAAAGAATATCTCTTTGGATTTGAGACTTTAGTCTTTGCAACTTTGCAGATCTTCTTTATGCACCAAGAGCTTGTAACACTCCAAAGAGAAAGGAAAAATTTAAATCGCATCATATGACCCCTTTAACTTAATGTTAATACAAGATAAGCATTGCTCGTTAAAAGTAATTTTAATTCAATAAGCTGACAAAAGTCGTTTGAAACAACAGCGCAGTTTACCATAGTAAAGTTTCTTACCGCTATGTTGACGGGTAAATGTTACTAGGTTAAACTGGTGTGCAAAAATGTTGACACAAACACACAGACAAACGTACATATATTTTTTACCTTGCTTACTGGTCTTATTCTCTCGTAAGGTGCATCGACACACAGCGCAGATGTTCTCAACATTCAGCCACTAGATGTCCCACACTAGCCAAATTCAAAGAGTGACTGCACCTTATGTCACACTGGCATACTGATTATAGCATACTCATAATGTGCAGTGTACACTATATAGTACTGTACAGTATGTTGCCTACAATTTTTTTCCTTTTTCTAAAACTAACATTAACTTTTTAACAGCATGTAAAATAGTATGCAGTATGTAACACTAAACATTAAACCTTAAACTTTAGCACTGATTGACTGACTCAATTATTTTTATTTAATTTGAAATGCTTTGTAATAGTTCAAAAATTGCTGTTAAGTAACTTTATAAATGTAATTGCTTATACATTGTTGTAAATCCTAATACAATGTTACTTATTACAAGAAGAAAAAAAAATGTTGTGCTCTCACTTGTCACAACTCTTCTATGTGGGTCTGAGAAATCTTCCACATCACTATTAATTTGAGGTGCCTAACAGGAAACAATCCCTCTCAGGCATATTATAGGTTTTCTGTTTCACAGAGCATAAATGAGTGCGCCACTGCACACACTGATGTCATGCTTTCACACTTGCAGATACATGTCTCGATCAACTGTTTCCTCTTTAGTCAGGGATTCTCAATTGTTCTTGAGGACTGGAATGTAGTGTGATTTTTCTTAGGGGGGTTGGTCTCTTGACAATGTACCCTGGAAACTTGTTTCTGCAGAAGCACTGCTAGAACAGTTCATGCAATACCAAAAAGAGTTAAGGAAATATTTGCTCTCCAACTGAATTGACAATGAATTACCTGTTCACTTTAAAAGAAACTCGACTATACAGGGTTTTTCTTCCTGGGTGACCCAAAGATCTCCACACCCAAGACAAATTCCCCTTTCAAAGTTCATGTTGACACTTCTTGTGCAGTAAAGTTGGTCCTGGCTTCGCTTTTTCATGCACACATTTGCAAATATACATGCGCACTTTACATTTACATGTATTCTTTCTATGTCAACAAACACACTGATACGCACAAATCTACTCTGTGAATTATTACCTGCACAATAACCAAATACAGATGCTGGGTAATTTAACAAAAAGGAGACAGATGGGTTTCCAAACATATTCATGACTGGCTGTTTTCACCCCACAAGACGGCCGTAAAACTGACACTTCAAAAGTCACTTTCTTTACAGATGCACTTTTGCTTCACAAAGAAAAATCCTTAACAGTACACAGCATAGATACATGCACGTAATGTTTTACACATTAATAATGTGCATAAAAATGTGGATGAATACTATTCTATTTTATTTATTATTATTGATTTATTATTATATAATGATTTATTCTATGTATTTTATTTTACAAAACTAAAAATATAAAAAAAAAATTTTTTTTTATCTGAAATCAAATAAACCAAATCTAACTATTGCATGACAAACAAACAAACAAACAAATAAATAAATAACAGAAATTTTGCCTTGCCATATAACTGAAATAAACTAAGTTTAGGTTGAGGTACTAAAATGACTAAAACTAGAACTGAAATCAATAGGTTTGAAAGCAAAGCTAAATAGAAATATTAAATGACTAAATATTAAAAATTAATCTGAAAACTGAAAATAGGAAATTACTCAAATTAAAACTGAAATCAATATAATGAAAAAAATAAACAGAAATATAAAAATATAATGAGAAAAGTAGATTCACACAAGTTTTCCCAGATTATTTCACTAAAGCTCGGCTGGTTCATTAAGAAGTGACAGAAGTGATATCATTAAAGCCCCATTTAGTCTGTAGGCGGTGGATGTGAAGTTCCAGCAGCCATCTGCAGTCAGAGTTTTTATGTCTTCCTTTAGTGTCTCATCCTCCCTCTGCACAGACAAGCCCTGATGATTTTAACCAGCTCTGCTTAGTGTCGGGCCACACACATCCCACTTTAAACGGCCCTCGGGGTTTCTTGTAAATCCACCAGAGCTGCTGTGGCCTTTACAGCAGGAACAATACCTGATTTAAAGGGTGGGGAATGTACTCTTCCTGCTACAGATATTTTTGTGTGTGGCATCTGTTATCTGCAAAGCCAAAGGTAGACAATTGCATTGAAGGGTGTTCATTTGGAAGGAAAAAAGGAGAGGCTCACTAAACAGGTGGCGGAAACGCATATGCCATGAATTATGAAAGAAAGAAAAGCTCTTCAAAAGATTGTTTGCTTAACGTTTTTAATGGGAAAAGTCACAATGTAAATGCATGGAATGAGTCATATAATAGCACAATAACAAATAGGGACAGAACCTGCATGGGTGCTTATGAAAGTAAATTAAACGCCTGGGTGACCCAAAGACGCCCCCCCCCCCCCC